TCGGAGATAATCCCGTTTTTGAGTAGAAGGCAGATGGGAAAAGGGACGTTATTTATATCTACCTACCGAGAAACGTCAGACTTGAAGAACCGGGGATAGACATGGGGGGGAAATGAGCCAAAGGACCTGAAATGTGTGATGTTGGGTGCACAAGAGAAACATTTTGGATGAGCATCTATGACTCCTCTTGATAAATTAACATTCTATTTAGGTCATGGAGTCATTTCCAAAAGAATTAGCAAGCCTCAGTCAATCTCAATCTATAATTTTCATTTCAGATGTGAAAGGAATTTGCCAAGTGAAGGGAACATGATTAAAATACTGCAAAAGTGTTTAATTTGCTTTTAAACTACACTTTTCTACATTGTTTTGAGAAGTGAAGTGCACCTTAGTTCAACGCAGTTTATTCACATAATGCCAACCCACACAATAATCACCTCAAGATGCTTTATACTGCAAAGGAAATACTCTTACATTACTACAGAGAAAACCCCAGCAATCACTCATTGTTCAAACCTACTGTTTGTCAGGAACAGCCAGTTTGAAGAAAGTTGGCATAAAAGCAGAGGAGGTAAAACAGCTTGCGTCAGACAGACAATGAAGAGGATGAGGGACTTTAAGCAGCGAAAAAAGCGACTCTACAAGGGCTCAGGAATAAATAAAATGGGCTAGAAATGATCCTGGTAGATCTCTTTTAAAGAACTATTGAATCTTCATCAACCATTTCTGTTTTATGTCACTCCATGGGAAGATTGGAGTGACTGGTTTTAACCAGTCAGAACTATCTGAAGAGATTAAAAGCTTCTCCTTTGCCACCTTGCTGCTCAGGTCATTTATGACAAACTTGATGAAATTAATTGTACTGTGTGTGTGTGTGTGTCAGCATATCTAGGAGCAATCAAAGTGGGTCAGAGTGCGATTCACACAGGTTTTTCCATCTAGAAGAGCAAATCAGTGCTTGCAGAGGCCTTATCAGTCTGTAGGTAAATACTGAAGCATCTCTGACGTTTACACTCAGGACAGGAACAAAATGGAGACACAAGCACACACAAATCACTGACTGATTCTGTCAAACTCTTTGACCTCCTACTTTGTGGTGTGTTCAGGGTCACATAGAGAAACGTATACAATCAGGATAGCTGTGTTAGTGCTGGAAAGGCTGGAAAATGCAGCACTTGTAAGTGCAGCATCTTTGAGCAGAAAGTAAATAATGTGATATCTTACCAGCCTAAATCCATTTTTGGATGATTAAACAAACAAATCATGCAATCCCTTCATTTTTCATTTTAATGACAGCAAAAACTTTCACACAGTCTGAACACATATTGCATAATTTTATTTTCTCCTTATAAAGAACAAATTCAGACAGTCTTCTGCAGAACCTGAAAACCTTATAAAACTGAAAACCACAGAGAAGACGCCTATTTCAGCTTGTTGCTAACATGGATAATTGGAGCACCTTTCACTTAAAACATAATTTCCTCTCACACTGTAATTTTCATATTAAGACCTACTGAAAACAAACAACATAACACAGCCCATGCGCTTGCAAGAGCCTCATGGGACACAAAGACTATCACTGATAAATGCCATGTCGTAAGTAGCACTGATGGGTATGGTGTTTTTATGACACAGGCCCCATGACTTCACAGTGGGTTACACGGCAAATCTAAGAGCTTTGGATGATTCATTTTATAAACAGATGAAACAGAGCAAATTTT